CAAAGTAGCCCACTCGAGTGGAGCCGGGCGGCAGTAGTAGGCAATTTAGGGCGACGGTGGAACTCGCTATTTAAGGTTAAGTATATGCCCCCGTAATCTTAACGCTAATGTATGGACTGCAGAGTTTACTATTTATTTTAATCTGTTTTTAGCACGATAATGAGAGTCATGTATGCGTATTAATTTAGTAACTTATTAAGGTGACTTGATTTTAGTAGATATTTAAATAAATTAATTTACATAAATATGGGCTTGTAACTTAATAATTACTTTTTAATACCTAAAAAGGCAAAATCAAGCAAGCAAATGCAATTCCTTTTACGCATAAATCACAAACATATTCTTAGAAAGTGGATATTTAATCAAATTTCAAAAGCTTCATAAAATGCTTTGGAAAATTTCAAAGTAGTTCAGCTTATAGCTTATTAAATTCTTTTTAAAGTCTTCCCTCAGACTCAAATATCTTTATAGTTAATTTAGTTTTCTGGCCCACGAAGGTCTTTGTAACGTGGCAAGCCATGACAAAAGGAGAACTTCGAGGAAATCCACTCGGGCACAATTGAAAAGCCGACATTCACAATTAATTCTTTCTTTTTCTATTAACTTTGCGACCTACAAATTGAATAAGTAATCATTATATAGTTAAATGTTTTTGTAATGTACAGAAATATAGCTAAATGCAGTTTATTAACCTTAAATAAATACAATTATATTAAGTAGCACAAAATTTCCTAGAAGTACCAGGCAGTCATAAACCAGGAAGAAATTCTAGAGATTAATTGTACTTGCCAAGATTCAGTCCTACAAAATTCTTGTAAATTGTAATACGTGATGGAAATATCGGATTTTCATACTCTACCTGACAGTGACCTCACTTTTAACCTATCTAAGCCTCCATCAGCCAGTGGTGGGACAGGTCTTTACAATATTTTTTTTAAACTTTTGAAGGTCGTCGGTCTCATAATATTTATGTATATATTCGTCACTAGTATGAATTGATGTCGGAAGTATACAGATGGGTTCACGTAAACATATTTTTTAATCTGAAGGCTAGTTTCTTAAGCTTTTTAAATGTATACATGAATCAGAATGTACATAAGTCGTTCTATAACTGCTAAATCAACTTTGTTTTCACTTTATGTTTAATACTGAAACATGCATTTTTTTATTAAACACACCCGGGCTTTTATTCCATTTTCTTCGTAAATAAATACGTTTTTATTTTAACCATCGCTTTAGCACTTTAAAAAAGAAAATAATGGCAGCGTATCCGAAACTTCTAGCTTTTAAAACTTTGTAAATGTTCTAAGGCAAGCGGTATTGCTTTTTAATGGCTCTTTAGTTTGTAATGTTCCAGCCACGATCAGAACCATGATATAAAATAAAAATCATTTATCTAAAAGAAATATCTCATGATATTTACTTAAAAATAATTATTACTATAATAATTAAAAGTCGTGTTTTAAAATGTATTTCACTTTTTAATTTAAATTCTTAATTAATTTAATTAAATATCTTTAAAACAGGTTTATATGAAACTAGCTGTTGCTTGTGATTTTCTTAGTATAACTGTAGTTGTTCAGTAACTTTACAACATTTAAAAATGAAAAATAACAGTGTACAGGACTTACACAGCGGCGGCGGTAAAATGTAGGGTAACAGAGAGAAACTTGTGCTAACTTTGCGGCTTATGATTAACGTTATTACAGCTAATATATTAGATGGGTTTATCTCTACGAGACTGCGAACTTAACGATTTATTTCCATTTTTTATAATATTAACCTTTTGCATACTCTTAAGAATATATTATACACCAATAAACTCTAATGTGACGATCAATTTAGAAAATATAATATAGCCTATGTTACTCACAGATAGATTGCCTTAAATTAAATCAGCTCAGTAATTTCTGCGTGAATCAAATACATATGATTTTTTTTTATTTTCACACTATCACATTACTTCAGACAGCTCGTGAACATGACGCATATGGCCACTAGAATCCGCCAAAATGGCGAGGCGACCGCTGCCCATAGACATCCACAATTACAGATGCGTTGTCTACCCTTATACGACGGAGGACGAGACGCACATAAAGAGGATATTTCCCCTTCCTATGCATCTCCTCCGCCATCAAATCCACTTCCCCTTCCCAACTTCTCCTTATAAGAAAAGGATGGCAAAGAGAAAGGGACTTAAATTAGGCCTCCGGCCCCACACTCATCAGACGAAACACGGAATTGCTTCCATTTCACGCCTGTCTTCTGTGTAGTCGTGGTATTACACCGGGGGTGCCGGCCCATTCGTGCTAAGATGTTAAAGCGGGCACTACCACTGTTAATGACGCATGCAATTGTGCCGAAATATCGGGAGCTAAAACAATCCAATCGTGGTAAGAAACCTGTATCTTAAGAACATTATATTTGTAAAAACTACGACACTTTAAAGTTATATACATACAAATACAAATCTTTCTTTATAATATTAGTCATAACGAATTATATGTAATAAAATACATCTTTATATGACTACGTAAGCACGATTTGTGTTACTTAACTTACATTAACGTATCAACATGAAGAGTAATGAGGTCTTTGCATACTTGTCCAAACTTGAAGACTGCGGCGTTTTAACGCCTGCAACTTTTGACTTTAGAAGCTTTTAAGTTCTTTCACCAAAGTTACTTTGAAAGAACATTAACATCGGAATTCCTCGCGACGTAATTTACTGGAGAATCGATACCTCACTTTGTAAGAACTAATTTCCCTAAAGAAAACCTTTCCGAAGGTCGAAAGTTTTATCATTTAGATTTGCATATTTATAGAACATCAACATAACTGGCAACACTAGAATTAATACAGAATCTGATCTGAATTTAAACTTAATTCATGTATAAACTTTTTATGGATAAAATATATGATTTTTTTGTTGGTACTTTTAATAAAAATACCCATATTTATAATACAGTTAAATACTGTAATTAAATATTTCGCTCAACACCAAAAAAAACAGCACTCTAAATAAAGGAAATGTATTTAAAAAATACAAATCATAATATAAGTTACAATTCAAAGCTAAATTGCAACTTCAACACATTTCAGTATTATACAAATTGTCCGTTCCAAATCCGGCCACAAAGAATATAATCTGACCGCAGACTCGGAAATAAATCCGTTATAAATGCGCCGACGTTCGCCAAAACACTCGGCCAAAGAGCGCTGCTATTCAGCTCAGTCACATCGGTTTAAATAAAACTTAGATGTGAAAATATTTAATTGTGTTTACAAATGAACGAGCACTTCATTATCCCGAAAGGTTATGACTGTTAATGATGGACTGTATATTTGAATGATATCGACTTGTAGTTAACCAGTTTATTATATAATAGAAAGATACAATAGATAAATAAACGCCGTGTTGTCGGTATATGGCGTGGACCGCAACTGGCCGATGCGGTGTGAGGGCGCGCGGGGGACGGACGAGGGCTGAAAGGGCCCCTTCGCCCCTCATCCCCGCCGGTGTTGCAGTAAGACGCAACAATGACAAAATGTTCTAGTTTTTTATATCTTGCTCTACTCCTATCAATACTCTTAATAAGACATTAAATTGGTCCCTTAGGTTACTAGAGAAGACAGTGTAAATATCTACATTAATTACAAAACAAGGCGCGACGCGATAACGAATAAATCCGCTAAATCCGCTTATGAAGGACCCCCAACGGGTACAAAACTGGTCGGTGCCTATACCGATTTTTTCACGTTAAGTCGTGTTATTAATAGTATAATGTCTCACGAAAGTTTTAATAAGATAACTACATTAACTATAACCTAAAATGGCAAAATCATTTGAAAGATATATGAGTTCCTGTAATACTAAATCTTTGATATAATCTCGGAAACAATAAAGTATTCCTCTGAACAAAATCAGTTTCTGAATAAGCTCGAAGACCAAACTTGAACAACTCGCGAACTTTCGTATAACAAATAACGAGTACAATTCGATGCGGAATATACAAAATATCATTAAAATTTCTCTCTTGAGGAACTTTATAAAGTTTTACAAGCAAATGGTAGAAATTAAAGGTAGTAAGATAAGTATACGTTGTGAAAATGCACCTCCCACCTCCAACTTGTTAGTTCTTTAATTAAATTCGCAACTCATACAATTATCTTTATTTCTACGAGCTTTGTCTTTAGAATAATTAATTCAACATTCTTTAACTTAAATAGTTACTTAAAATACGTTAAAAACCTTCATTTATCATACAAACTTATTTAATGCAAATATTGCAAACTAAATATGCATAAGAAATTAGAGAGAAATAACTAAGTCTCGATATAAAAAGTCCTCAAGACTATAAAATCATGATAGTAAATTATTTTATACTAGCTTTCGCCCGCGATTCCATCCGCGTAGAAATAAAATAAACAAATTGAGTAACCTAAGTGTTCTTCCACACTATCCTCTACATTTATACCAAATTTTATCAAAATTCATTCAGCCGTTTAGGCTACAAACTCTATCAAACATCCATCCATCAATCTAAACTTTCGCATTTATAACATTAGTATGATTAGTATGATTCACTACAATTTAAATGACAACGCATTGTAATTCAGTCTTCAATTAGATGAGGTCCGCAAGAGACCGACGTTTATTCTATAAGAAAACAAGTATATCAATCAGAGCGGTATACAAGTTAGGGAATACCCGCTCATAATAAATTCCATAGAGAAGTAGGGCGATATCTACCCGGTCGGGATCGCGCGGGATCTCATCTCATATTTAATTTATATTGCGGACACATCGCTAGATATTATTTCCGCATTGTGCTTGACTGTTTTGATATAACGGAAAGTTAAATATACGGCTGAATAGATTATTTTATTCTACTGAACGAGGTTTTGATATAAAAATCAATTTAACACGCTAATACTACGCGTTTGACCTACGAGTGCTACGCTTCGTAGACTTAACCGTAGCACTTGAGATGACTTACCTTTAAATCTCTGGAGTGTCGTAGCTCTTGTCTCCGCGGCGGCTGTCCGGGTAGATCAGAGTAGACCAGGTTCCGCACGGACCCTCGAAACTTGGGCTCGAAGATTACGGACGGTAGCGCTAACGCCGTCAACTTAGTGTTGTATCTGAAACAAAATGTTTACATAAATTTCAAATAGCACTAGTAACAAATTCTATAGGTATATGACAATGTAATTACAATTTATAAATACATTTTAGATGAGCTGTTAAACTATTTATCGAGACAATGTTCGGATCGATCACGACACTATTATAACTTGCACAAGTAAACGACGCTCGAGACATTATACTAACATCGCTACTATGTTAAAGTTGTTTTAGACGTTTTTTAGTTACATAAAACCTATTATTTAAAAAGAAAAAAATATCAACTTAATAGGCTATTTACTTATATACCTAAAATTGTTGACTTCTGTATGTTTTAAAATTTTATTTTGTGTTGTCGAATTTCCTATGTTTATAAGTTGAATTATCATTCATATGCGTCTAATAGTTCTAAATAACATTAAAATACCCTAAGTAGCACCAACACGCATGTCCATTACAGAATAAAATATAATAAAAGATAATTAACATTGTGTCCGCTCACGACGTCATGAGTGGTCACAAGCTATTCTTCGCTACGCGATGTCACGTTGCCTAAATAATTCGATTTGCCGGTCGCATGTTAGTCTTAATTATGTAACTCAGTTAACTTTGACAAATTCAATATGTAGTTCCGTAATAAACTATTCAATAATATAAAAATATTACATTTGTGTCTCTGGTTAGACAAAGATAGTAAAAGAATTTCTATAGAGATTCAACTGGGAAATGGATCCTAGATTTTTTTAAATAGATTTTAAGGGTAGGCAATGTGGCTATCACTAAATTACTTTTCGTTTTCTTAATTTTTGATATCATTGTTTTTACTACGAAAGCTTTAATATAAAATACTAGCTGTTGCTTGCGACTTGTCCCACGTGAAATTATAAAAATAGCCAATGTTACTCACTGACAACATAGCTTTTTAATGGTGTAAGAATTTTTAAAATCGGTCCAGTAGTTTTTGTGTTATTCCAATACATACAAAAATCTCTTTTAAATATAAGTATAGATAAAATTTAAAATAGATGATCACTGAAACGATGTATCATTCAATTGATTCTCCAAATGAACGAATCGAAACCTAAATGAACTTCAATAAAGATGTTTCAGTTCAGCTTTGTTCAGCACTTTCAAATGACGGATATCCGGTTTGATATATTGTCTGGTTTACGTTTAATAGAAAAAGACGGAAGACGAAGCAGCACGCTATTCCTGTCACACTAAGATGGATGTTGAGCTTGCAAGCGAGAATTGTTTTTCGCATTCTAAGCTCAAGTACGGATTAAGCTTAAAGCTCTCTATTATAGAAGATATTCTTTAAAATGTTAAGCTACAAGATGTTTTCAGTTGCAATTCATTTATAAACGAAATTCTTAGCTGTTTATTTTTAGTGTACTTCCATTTGTTCGCATATTCGTCAGCGCAGAGTTATAAAAATAAATAGTTATAAACGAAATCGTCATACGATTATATTATATCTTCTCAAAAGTTGAAGAATTTTTCAAATTAGCTAGGTAACAATCAATATATTTCTTATTTAAATGTTTATGAACCTATTTTTGTCATAAAAACAAATAAATGTCCTTAATCATAGCTTTAGATAATGACAGAGGTTAATTAGTGCAAACGTTTCTCCATTACCAGTACGATGTTTTGTAGGGCATTTTGCTAACTTATGAGTACATACGAATGGGTGATGATAAGACATGCTAGTACGGAGTGCATCACAAAATTTACTAAGAGTATGCGCACACCCGAAACTACACTACTCGATTTTTAGTTGTGCAACTAAACAGTTGAATTGGTTGCGAAACAATCGACAATCGCACGGCAGTGTGATAGTTCAATCAAAGGTGTACGACCGCTCTAATACAATTTAAAAAATCCGAACTGCAGACAGTTGATGTATGAACGCGATTAAACATGGCGTCTGTTCTGACGTGGTATTGGATGCAAAGCGATTTATGAGTGGATTTGCGAACTAGTTTTGATTTACGACAACAAATATTGTTTCTGTTGCTTTTAAAATGAGTAATAAATAAGGTAATTTCAGGCGTTTGAATGCAATACTAAAAATTTGTTAGAATAATTTTAATGTTGCTAGAATCAGACGAAAACACGTTATTAACCTAGATATCAATTCATAAAACAGGTGTTTTTATTAAATTAAGAAAATAAATCATAATCATCCATCTATCAACCTCTAAGCTGTAAGCTACCAGTCTGTAAGCTTAAAGTTCCATAAATTAAGCTACGCTACATATACTCCGTGACAAAGAAACGAAAAAAGCTCAATTTACTTTATTTCGCGACACTTTACAAACCATTGCACTTTGCTGGCATCCTTTGTTCTAAGTCCGTGCAAAAAGATGGCTGCCATAAAGGAAACTACGTTTCTAACAACGAATATGAAATCGAGCTCTGAACTTTATTCTCTTATATACGAAATCAGATCGTTTTAGAATCTATGTCTTCAATTATATTTACAATATTATATTATCTAAGTTTAAAGGTATTTACCAAGCAGTTTTAAATCGCCTAATTACAAATCTCTGTCATTCGCGTAAAAAAAGTTAAAACAAACAAATGCTCTATCGAAAAATTCGCAAATCTACGTAGTTGCGTTAACATAGTTACTCTCAGACTCACCGTAAAATTTAATCTCGAAATTAATCTCTATTTGAAGGGCTATTCGGTTAACAAATTATTTATTTTTGAACTTCCATTCATATATAGGGAGTTATTTCCTACATTCAAATACGTTTTTCTGAATATATTTCATGTAATTTTCAAAATTTACCCACGGAATAGAAATTTCATTTTAAAGATCGAGTAATTCGTACAATTTGAACAATTTTTAATATGAAATTTAAACGAAACTGTGGGCACAACAAAATTAGGTCCGAGCGAGAACACTTGGAGCGGAAATCTAATAACAAGTTTAAACTCGGTTGCGACCTCTGAGAGAATTTATTACTTTCTTAAATGTTTGTTTATAACTTCAGCTTTTCAAAGAAAACACAAAATTTTTAGTTACAATCCATCCTACTTGGTAATACAAAAAAGTCCGTTTAATTTTAAAGCTGTCTGACTTTTCCCACGGTTCAAGTCGAAAAACAATTCTCGCTTTTCGTGCGAACATCACTCTCTGTGCGACAGGGATAGCTTATCGTGATTAATCTTCCGTCCCTTTCTATTAAACGTGAAGCCTGCGATATATCACAACTGCAGAGCTGACAAGTCGCTCGCTTATTTTAAAATGGCTCTTCGCATCTTCCCTTATGTTTACCATCTATCTTTTAAACTCCCTCAGTCGAAGACTAAATTAAATTTCAAATATACTGTTGCCAAAACTAGTTATTTTTACAGAACTGTAATATTATTTTCATCCGCAATTCAATATTATGTCGTTTAATACATATTTAATAGTGCTTATTTTGAAGAGTAACCTTAACAATTTTTTTCTACAAAAGTATAGTAAGGATTATTTTAATTTGTTAAATATGCTGTACAGAGATAAATTTAGCTCGTTCTTTATTAAACAGGGATTTACTATACATTTCTACGAAACTGCACATATGTACCGTAATTTTAATCAACTGTTGTCCTGATGTACGGTCCCTAATCCATAGTGTAAGCAAAGGGATTATCTAGATTGTCTGTCGCGAGCAGTCTAGACGGAACAAGGCCAGATGTCGGCCACGACTATGAATACTGTCTCGTCTAATAGACCGTCCCGTAATATATTTCGTCTCAACTAAAATAGGCCAAGTCTACATTGTTAATGGCTTCTTTTCTTAATACTGCTCTCTTGTATCTAGGCTATTTATTTGTATATTTCTAGTAATATTCCCATTAAAAGATTTTAAATAAAGATGGTAAACATTAAGCGATGATGAATAAGATGACGGATCAGCGAATATTAAGTAGTATATTCACGAAAGACCGTCGTTTTTTGTATAAACTGACAACCATAATTCGCAAGAATAGCGAAGCGACCGCTGCCATAGACATCTGCTTATGCAGATGCATCGACAACCTTAGCAACAGAGGCGGAGAACACAGAAAGAGGATATTTACCCTACGTATCGATCCCATCTATCAATAAATCCATTTCTCCCTCTCCTTTCCTCAAACGCGAGTGAAGAAGGGAAGAGAACTAAAATTAGGTTTTCGGCATCTAAATTGAATTATTTTATAAACATCCTTTTCTTGTTTAGGTTTTATTGACGCAATAAAATTCTTTTGTTCGTATCGAATTGTTCTTTTCTAAAACTCTATTTAGCTCGTTGCGAGCTATTGAGCTTCGAATAGAATTCAGTTTTCTTATTTCAAAAGGAAGTGCAGTGAATCAGGTCGTAGCGGTCGGTCGGAATGATACGCTCTTTATGAGGCCGTTTTCGAAATACCTTTTAATATTTAAGGCTTTTTTATAAAGATCATGAACGTAATAAAACTTAATCCTTTATTATATGAAGCTTTTAACGGTTATTTAAACTTTGATATTAAAATTGCTTTATTAAGGAATTAATTAGTTGTGTATTTTAAACTGCATTTGCGTATTATTTACAAAACAAAACCCGGAATATACAATAATGTTATTTGGGAATATTTGTGTAATATTTCAATAACGTTACAAATATGAATTTAGAAATAATAACATTGACACTAATCAATACCATGGAATGTGGAATCTATTATCTTCTCTTTTTTAAATTAATATAAATCCTATCTAAACTCAGTCAGCAATGTGCAGTATTGTAAGTTGGCAGTCTCAAGTGAGGTTCAACAGGGTCGCAGCGGAGTGCGGGATGAATGCCCAACACACGGCCTCCGCATAATGAAGCGACGTGACTTTCTAACGAGATGATGTAACCCGATCACATTACGTGACATCTTACCAATCAATTGACAGGTAACAAATGTCATTTTAAATTAGTCATTTTTTTAAATGTTTATCATTCCTCTAGCTAATGCAAAAAAATATGAAAAGAAAGAAAGGCAGAGTACAGCTTTC